AAAGAAGAACCCAAAGATCACTGTGGCTGAGCTCCAGAGATGCAGTAGGGAGATGGGAGAAAGTTCCACAAAGTCAACTATCACTGCAGCCCTCCACCAGTCGGGGCTTTATGGCAGAGTGGCCCAACGGAAGCGTCTCCTCAGTGCAAGACATATGAAAGCCCGCATAGAGTTTGCCAAAAAACACAAGAAGGACTCCCAGACTATGAGAAATAAGATTCTCTGGTCTGATGAGACCAAGGTTGAACTTTTGGCGTTAGTTCTAAGCGGTATGTGTGGAGAAAACCAGGCACTGCTCATCACCTGCCCAATACAATCCCAACAGTGAAACATGGTGGTGGCAGCATCATGCTATGGGGGTGTTTTTCAGCTGCAAGGACAGGACAACTGGTTGCAATTGAAGGAAAGATGAATGCGGCCAAGTACAGAGATATCCTGGAAGAACACCTCTTCCAGAGTGCTCTGGACCTCAGACTGGGCCGAAGGTTCACCTTCCAACAAGACAATGACCCTAAGCACACAGCTAAAATAACAAAGGAGTGGCTTCGGAACAACTCTGTGACCATTCTTGACTGGCCCAGCCAGAGCCCTGACCTAAACCCAATTGAGCATCTCTGGAGAGACCTGAAAATGGCTGTCCACCAACGTTCACCATCCAACCTGACGGAACTGGAGAGGATCTGCAAGGAAGAATGGCACAGGATCCCCAAATCCAGGTGTGAAAAACTTGTTGCATCATTCCCAAGAAGACTCATGGCTGTACTAGCTCAAAAGGGTGCTTCTACTCAATACTGAGCAAAGGGTCTGAATACTTATGACCATGTGATATTTCAGTTTTTCTTTTTTAATAAATTTGCAAAAATTTCTACATTTGTTTTTTTCTGTCAAGATGGGGTGTACATTAATGAGAAATAAAATGAACTTTTTTGATTTTAGCAAATGGCTGCAATGAAGCAAAGAGTGAAAAATTTAAAGGGGTCTGAATACTTTCCGTACCCACTGTATATTGCGATTTCTTCGGGCAGTAGAAGCCACACTGTCAAAATTTCTTTAGGAATTTTCTAGTTATTATTGTTGCATTTATTTCTTGAGGAATAATCTGAACGTTAGATAAATGTTCTTTTTACTTTTGTTGACTTGTTTGTCAAAACTTTTTACAGACGCAATGTTGGATCTGTTTTTGTAAGACTTCATGAATCAGAAAATACTGTCAGACAGAAAAAATATAACTTTTCCCTGTGTTTCCAGAAATAAAATGTTTAAATCAGGCAGTGAATGAAGAAAAACCTCAATAAGAAGCTTCAGAATGGAGCCTTTAAAGAAGTTAAACAGCAGGAGACTCATTAATGACACAGTGAGGACGTGATGGCGTCTGTGTTCTACTGTCTGTCTTACTGTCTGCCCTACTGTCTGTCCTACTATCGTCTTACTGTCTGTCTTACATCTGTTTACTGTCTGTCTTACTATCGTCTTACGTCTGTCCTACTGTCTGTCATACTGTCTCTCTTACTGTCTGTCCTGTCTCTCTTAGTGTATGTCCTACTGTCTCTCTTACTGTCTGTCCTGTCTCTTAGTGTCTGTCCTACTGTCTCTCTTACTGTCTGTCTTCATGCTGTTCAGACTGCTGCTCTTCACCAGATTCAGAGACTCGTGACTGGAGCTCTCAGACAGACCGCTCCAACTGGACTGACGAATCAGAATAGAGTGGGGGAGGGGCTTCTGGTCCATCGTCGCTTCTTCTAAAGAAAAACAGAATCAGAATAAAGCACATTATGATGTTATTCAATTCTTTATCCAGGCTTCCTTTAACTTCTCAGCAGATGAATATTTGACTTAGTGACTGATGAAGGATGCTGTGAGTGAGAATGACGTTTTACACAAAGACTGGAATCTTCAGAAAACCAGAATTCATCATGAGTCATCAGAAGACATCTAAAACTAGAATTTACCTGTTAACAACCTTCAGTCAGCCAATAAAGCACTATATGTACCTCTGAGATGTAGTACAGTAAAAGTACAACATGTACCTCTG